GACAGCTTTCAGACATTTCTCTTTTAATTAAAGCTTAGAAGAAATTACCAGATTCACAAATTACATATTAAAATGTGCTGCAGAAATTCTCTGCATATTCACCTGTGTCTAAATACCGTGCTTAAAAAATGAGATGAAAAGCTAGAATGCAGATGTAAAGTGATGCTTTGGCCAACAATCAATGAACATCATTTCCCTTTTCACCCAACACTGTATAAATCTTGTATGGACAACATTCAGGCTTTACCTGGCTGCTACTGCGGTTTTAAGCTGTGATGCACCTGTGTTTGCGCAATGCTAAGCTTCCAATACTTCTTAGCTACGTTAGCCTTGTAGCTCCAGTGTAAATCTAATGGGAAAACTTCTTGCGGTGAGGGGGCGAATTATTTTTGTCCTATTTAAGACAGAGCCAGAACACACAGACTCTGTGGAGGAGGCAGATGAGCTCCTGTGGGGAGAGCAAAATAGAGGAGTGTCCCAGCACATTATGCTCTCCCCATTCGCTGTGCACCTAAAACTCATTACCAGGACAACAACGATCATCATGATGATGATGATGATCATGATGGAGCTGGTGGAAGCAAATGGAACAGAAGCGGCGGCTCCTGCTGGCTGACCACATCAATACAATATCTCCTGAAATCACTTGCAGTGTTTCAGTCTCAGTTTTCTTTCTGTTCTTCATGTCCAACAACTAAATTAGTTCACACTTAAAAAAGATGGTTCTTCAGAGTTCTTTACTAAAGAAAATAGTTCATATAGAACCATTAATACTCAAAGAACCCTTTGCATGATTAAAGGGTTCTTTGTATCATGAAAGTGTTCTTCAGACTGATGGAGAATGTACTGTGGATGGTTCTACAGAGCACCTTTTTAAAAAGGGTTCTATATAGCACCAAAAAGGGTTCTACTATGCTGACGGTGTCAAGCTTGTAGCAATAGAAGAACCCTTGACACAGAGCTTGACACCGTAAGCATAGTAGAACCCTTTTTGATGCTATAAGGAACCCTTTTCAAAAAGGCGCTCTGTAGAACCATCTACAGTACATTCTCCATCAATCTGAAGAACGCTTTCATGATACAAAGAACCCTTTAATCATGTAAAGGGTTCTTTGAGTATTGATGGTTCCCTGTAGAATAATTTTCTTTAGTAAAGAACTGAATAAGATCTCCTAAAGTGTAGGAGAAGGAAAAATACCAAAGAACTTGTTCTGCTGGTCTTCAGTGATTTGTGTATTTATACAATTTGCCTTTTCCATTATTTTACAAAATATTGGTAGATTTTAATATGATAAATAAAGTGATATAAAAACTCCCTTTTTAGTCTTATTGTCCAGTCAGTTTGAACACCTTTTACCAGAGAAAATTAAAATTTCTGGAATATCAGCAAATCTTTACAGATTGGCTGCTCCCGCATCTGTGAACATTTCAGTTGCTTTTACTGTAAAACGTACTGTAGATGAATCCTGCATGACTCTTGTTATCACTCATTCTGATGTATCCTGTGGGAAAGTTTTCTAAAGAGTGAGAAGAGTTTTCTACAGCAAGCCATTTTAAGTTTCTTGATATCAGAAATGAAGGTAACAAGTAAACAAGTAAAAATGTTATTACATTAGTTGAAATATGAAAATTGATATGTGAACAATTGTAATCTAGATGAATTGGGAAAAGCTATAGATTCTTACTAGTGAGAACCGAAATCTCACGTCAAAATATCAAAATATTGTTCCTATTAGTTCTCTGTAATTTATCCAACGATCGATTTCCCATATGAAACATTGATAAACGTAGCAAATGTCCAGTGGCAACATAATCAACACATATCTTTAAAACACATCCCAAACAGACGGTACTTTAAGCGATTTTTTAGGCTTTCTGCATAATTCAGAGGTTGAGATGTGAACAAAACCTTTGGTTTGATGCGAAATGCTTCATTGTGGAGAAACTGACTGCTGATTTCTTTACAGTGGCGGTGATAGGAACCAGGGGTAGTGATGTCTACCACACAAATATAGCCACCTTACTTACTATCCAACATGACCAGTGACCCTACACGTCATCTTTAAAAAAATGTTGGCCACAAACAGTTTTGCTGAGGCCATGAGGTTACTTTTAGAGGCCTTAAACTCTTTAGACATTTGGTTCTTATCACCACCACTGTGAACAATTCTAACTCAGTATGTTTCTCTAGCGCAGAACATTTCAAATCAAACCACTCTGAATGCCTTTGTTTTCATCTTAACCATTTAATCCTGCAGACATTTTGAAGAATCTGTGAAATTCCCCTCTAAGATCAGTAATTTCTGACCAAAATTACAACAGTTAGCTTTCACAAAAGGTGAAACAGGTTCTGTTTACCTGACATCTGGGCACTAACAGTGGTCCATCTTCACACTCACACCCACACACTACTGCTTCTGCTGTACGGAACACTCCTGGTGTGAGTAACGGCCGTCTGCGTCATTGCTGTGGTCTGTAATGGATCTGGTTTGGGTAGGGGGGCCTTTGTGGCTATGATCTTCTCTCACAAGCCTCTGTTAAGATGCCTCAGGGGGCTGCTGACTCAGCAAACTCATGTCCACCACGCTTTTGTAAGTGTGTGAACGAAGAAGAGAGGACCGATGCGGGTGTCCGTCTGAAGAATTGTTCAGTCTTGGCTTTGGCAGATTAGGAGCCATCAAACCAATGCTTACCCTTAAAAATATAGAGTTAGTATTTTGCTGTTTGAATCATGGCTGTCTGAACAATGTGAGTAAGCTGGCGCTCGACCCAGCACTTTTCAAAGTTTTTGAAAAGTGTTCAGAAGGGCAAAAAAATTCTCCACTCTTCCTAATTGCATGGACCACTGACCTATAAGCAGGATCACACAGACACTCAGGGCCAGTTGTACATATGAGTGCAGGCACAGCACAAAATGTCCCTTGATGCAATGCAACCGCAATTTGTGTCCACAGTGCCTGTGAGATTTACTAAGGCTGGGCACAGGTGTGCTCTTCAGGTGCAAGGCTTTAAAGGTGCAGTGACCAGTGGAGCCGTCAACCAGCTCAAGACAAGTCCAGTAGAAAAGAGACAGTGGTGTTTTCTCACTTTAACATTCTGCAGGCGTGTACAGCTACTGCTTCACAGCCAGAGTGTGTGAGTGGAGTGGAACGGTGGACTTTTCCGCTCCTCGTTCACACATGGAGAGAACCCACTCCGTGTCCACTGTATGATTCATTCTTAAGATATTCATGTCTTGAACATGTGGACAAGACTCACTTTATTTCATGCATTTTATAGTTTTTGGCCTTTATTAACAGACATGAGGAAAGCTGCAGCTGTGCTTATCTTTTTGGAGAAGTGTGAACTGTTTTCACAGCAGTGGGTTCTCACCCCTCCCCTTTCACCCTTCTCTGCAGACACAGACTTCCAACAAACACACAGACAGTGTCCTAGTTAATCTGAAGACAGAGTTACAGGGAAATGGATTTTTTTCTAGATTATATCAGATAAAAATATTTGAGTCAGCTTCCATTCTGACGTTTTAAAGGTGCAGTGACCAGTGGAGCCGTCAACCAGCTCAAGACAAGTCCAGTAGAAAAGAGACAGTGGTGTTTTCTCACCTTAACATTCTGCAGGCGTGTACAGCTACTGCTTCACAGCCAGAGTATGTGAGTGGAGTGGAACGGTGGACTTTTCCACCGAGAGAACCCACTCCATGTCCACTAAGATATTTATGTCTTGAACATGTGGACAAGACTCACTTTATTTCATGAATTTTGTAGTTTTTGGTCAAACATTCTGTGCTGCACCAGCTTTTTTTTTTTTGATAATATAGGGTTGAAACGACGGCCCAATCACGAGCCAGAAAACTGCAATGGGTAAACACATTCTTTATCATTTTCACAGCAAAATGGATCACTGTGTGTAATATCTACAGATCTTTGTTGCAGTATTTGAGACTTTTCAGTATGTAGGTGTGCTGAACAGTTCTGCAGAGGAAACACTGTGTAAATGGGTGTTGTGTAGCAGTTACAGTGCTGCATCACTCATATCACGCAGAGGTACTCAATGTGGAAAAAGAACTGGCTTGTTGCTTGGGGTGGCATTGGAGTGATTTCGGAGTAAGGGACACTTGACGCTGACACTCCAACTTTCTAAAAAGCCAAAAAAAATCATGTTGCTCCACACCCCACTCCACACAGCTCACATACTCTGATCATGGCACAGGCACTGCGTCTTCTCACACACAGCTGAGCTATGTATTTAATAACTTTAATGCAATATATTGTAATGAAAAGTGGGAAATAAACTGGAGTTCCATCTTCGTAGGTGAGCAAGCATTTTTTTAACTGTTTAAATGTAATTTTTTATTGTGGCAGTTGTACATGATGTTTTGTCATGAGAAAAGCTGCAGCTGTGCTTATCTTTTTGGAGAAGTGTGAACTGTTTTCACAGCAGTGGGTTCTCACCCCTCCCCTTTCACCCCTCTTTGCAGACACAGACTTCCAACAAACACACAGACAGTGTCCTAGTTAATCTGCAGACAGAGTTACAGGGAAATGGATTTTTTTTTCAAGATTATATCAGATAAAAATATTTGAGTCTTCCATTCTGACGAGCAGAAAGAACCTACGAGGTGGAGAAAACTCCAAAAACACAAGTAAATTGAGTGGATTATATAATCAACTGCATTTATGATTTTTTCACCTATTTTCTGCACAATCCTCAATCATATGCACACCATGCACACGGCTCATAAACTGTGTGTTTAGTCTCATGTGCTGGTTTTGTAGGTAACACACAGGCAGAATGTGTCCAATTTGCACCAGAAACTGTCGCCGAAGGCTTATTACATCAGACCCTCAGTGGCAGAACCAAGTAAAATGTCTGCTTCAGGTGGCGGCGTGAGACATTCCTAAAAAGTGAACAGTGCATGACTTGGTGCTCAGTGCTAGGAATGCTGCAGCTCACTTTAATGAACTAAAATTTCTCTCTCTCTTTCTCTCTCATGTGCGTAGAGGAGACAGCGTTTGAGGCAGGCGTGCGGGTGCAGATCCACAGTCATGCGGAGCCTCCGTTCGTTCATGAGCTCGGCTTCGGGGTGGCACCTGGCTTCCAGACCTTCGTAGCCACACAAGAGCAGCGGGTGAGTGACGGCCAATCAGTGTGCATTCTCAGTTACTGTGGAAACGTGGACCTTTGCCTCCACCTTTGCTTCACTCATCCATTCTCCTACTCCAGCCCCTCCCCTCCAAGGCAGGGGTGGCTGTTCTGCCCGTCTCGTCTATGCTCTCGAACGCTCTAACTGTTCATCTGAAGTGTTTGGCTTTCATTAGCTTCCACTGGGTTCAGCAGATTGAGCTCTGCACTCAGTAAAGCCTTACATGTGTGTCCAGGGGGATTTTTGTACACATATCAGTTTCGTTCTGCACCACTCCTCTTTCATCACCCGGCTGTCCACGGCTCTGATGTCGGAGTGATTATGTCCTTCATTTTGGTTTATGTCTCCCTCCCTCTCTTGGCTGTCTGAGCTGTTCTGATGTCTATCTGCGTGACCTTGCTCTCAGCTGTCTATGCTAGTCCTTTGCAGTGTGTCCGTCTGGTGCTCTGTCGGTTGGTGCAGAGCTAATGGCTGAATGTCTAATTTCAGAGCAGTACGGCCTAATGGCTACTCGCTAATAGCTCATGCTGATTAGGGCTGTTGAACACTGAGAAATAAGTACCCAGTCTCAGAGCTTAACCTTGTACGCTCTCAGAAGAAAAGGTGATAAACCGTCACTGGGGTGGTACCATCAAGGGTGCGTTTTCATTATCTTTTGTTAGGGAACATATTATTTTCCATTACTTTTTATTTTTTAAGTTGCATTGACTCCACACACCCCATCTTGTCTCCAGCCTTTGTATTTTATTATTCTGTTTTTAAACATTAGGTTATGAAAAGATACAAATGCGTGTCTTTTCTCTGGGAAAAAACTTATTTACAGTAAACAGCTGGAACTTAAAACCACTGTTGTACCTTTGAGGGAACATTTACATTGTTTGTTCCTTGATGAATGAAAAATGTTCCTGCACAGCACCTTTATTTCTAACAGTGCACAGAGACTTGGATTCACAGGAACATCTACTGAAACTGCTTATAATAACATCTACTGCAACTATGACTATAGTCATAATAACATCTTGTGAAACTTGTTGTCTTAGTGATGTCTCCTGTTTGTGGTAACAGCAACATCTAATCAACCTTGTAATAAAATCTGATTGTAGTAACAGTAACATGTACTGAATCTCCTGATTGTAGTAATAGTAACATCTGCTGAAACATCTACTCTGTGGTTCTAGTAACATCTACTGAAACTTGCAGTTATAGTAACATCTAAAGTCTGTAGTTGTATGAACATCTACTGAAACTATTAGTTATAGTAACATCTACTGAAAGTTGTAGTTATAGTAACATCTTCTAAAGCTTGTAGTCATAGTAAAACTACTGACGATTGTTACCATAGTACCACTTCTCTTTTACTTGTTGTCTATAGCCTGATTCAGATGGGATTAATATATATCCTGGGATAATATCCTCCTTTACAGGTGCCACTCTGTGATTGTATGTCTGTCTGGATCGGCCATGTAAAATTATTGACTAAAATTATTGAATTATTGTTTTTTTTTTTAAACTGTCTTGACTATTAATCTAATCATTTTAGTCTCCATTCGAGTTGCTTTGCATAGCTGCATGACTGCTGCTACTTGCCATATTTCATTTTTTAGAATGTGTATCCATGTTAAACACTTCTCACGTGATGGATGCTTTGGTAAAGTTTCTCAGCCATGTATTTGTCAAGGTGGAAGACTTTGTCTCCTTCCTCTCTATACTGGAATATAAGTGGTCATAATTGCAGCTACAGATATAAAGCATTACTTTCTATTCACAACATCAACTTTTAGTTTTCTGCTGTGACCATGTGTGACACAAACTCATGGGTTTGTACAAAATACAACCCATTAGAAACTCACTTTTGCTGTGATAATTTTGTCATCCTAATGCAGGAGCTGATAAGATCACGGATTAGATGTGTTAAAAATGTATTACAGATGACTCCCTGATAAACGCCTCCAGTCCAATTAGGTCTATAGTTAAATCTACTGAATCTTGTTGCTGTAAAAACATCTACCAGTAATTCTGTTTATAGAAACATCTACTGAAAATTGTATGGTAAAATGTATTGAAACTTGATGTAGTAACATTTACAGATGATTGTCATCTTTGTAATATCTATGGTAACTTATCGTTGTAGCATTTACTGAAATATGTCGCCTGATCTGTGAGATAAGGCTTTTAGGTCATGAATCCTTGTTGTCATAGTAATACTGAGAACTTTTTGGAACTTGTAGTCCTAATAACATCTAAATGTAATATCCCCTGGACATTGCTGTTATTGGTAATGTTAGGTCCACTCTTTCTCTTACTAGAGCTCTCTAGCAGCAAGAACATTTTTTTCACTGTAAAACTGGCCAGAGGTGACTCACCAATAATGAATGCAGCAGCTGCCTACAGCACAGTAGTCATAGGAGAGAAGACATAAAAAGTCATAGGTGTTTTAGGTGCCTTGAGCTTGACAGCTTGGACTAAACTGAGCAAAGGAGAGACGTCCCAGGTGCCGTGGAGGGTCAGTGGTGGTGTTCCCTTGTCAGAGATTTCGGTAGTGGATGTCCTCTGAGCTGCTCTTGCTCTTATCACAAAGTGTCAGCATGACAGAGTCCAGCGCTTATCAGCTGCATGTCCGCAAGACAGAGGACTGGAGCTCGTCCTCCAGAGTCGCTTCTCTGTCTTGCTTCTTTAGGTGCTCTCTCACTCTCTCTCTCTCTCCTCCCTCTCTCTCTCTCTCTCTCTCAGGCCCTTGAGTTTTTTTATTTTTTTAATCAGGCTGTCTTGTCTGACAGAGGGCCTTCTGGATGACCTTCCCTTGCTAACAGTAAGGGCCAAATCCTGCGTGCGTGACCAGATTGCCTGTGCAAATTTAAGCAAGAGCCAAAAATCTATCACCCTCTCACCTTTAAGCCAGTCCTCAGTTTTCCAACTTGCGTCTCTGGAAAGAAGACGTGCCTGAGGCAGGTTTTCACAGAAACTTCGGCAAGCTTCATTAAAACAAATGGTACATGAATGATGTTTTTTTTCTCTTCACAAAAATAAATACGTGTGTTTTTTGGCAGGAAGAGCAGTTAGGTAAACAAAAGTGACAACTGGGAATGTGCTGGCCACTGTGATTGTGTTTCTTTCTAGGCAAATGAATAATTAGTCTAAGGGACTGTTGTTGGATTATGTAGATTTTGAGGTACTTTCAAGCTCAGGTTCCAAGGAAAAGCTGTTAGATTGCTCTTATGTGTTGGTTAATTGTTTAGTTATTAATCAGCTTATTATTCAATAACTGCTATAAATTGTTCTGCAACTACTAAGATGCAAATTTAGCAGTGAAACAATGCAACGATTTGCAATGTATCATTCAGTATATTTCTCTCAATTCAATCCACACAGGTATTGCACATTACATTCAACAGACAGGATCAAATAATGTTCTTAGTTTAATGCTGATTATATTGTTTAAAGTATAATTAAAAAAATAAGCAGCAAGCAGCATTGCTTCCTTTTCACCTCAGAATTCGAGAACGGGGGGGTAAAGCACACTCCTCCTTAGCCCAAGATATTAGCTCATGGCTGTCACATTATTATATAGTATTGTTCTTTTATAATGTTGAATGCTCTAATAAAGTTTGAACAGTGTCTTTAACTGTCCTAGTTGAATTTAAGGGGTGAGCAAAGCTCAGAACACTTTATGTCTTTGGATTATACAGCATGTGAGAACGTGTACTGGACCAGAGTGGCCTTGTTTTCAGACTGCGAGTTATGTGATGCAGACCAGCCCATCTCAAACTCAACTATATTTTCTCTGCTACACTAGAGGCTAGCTTTTTCTAAAACACTGAACATTTTCATCTTCTCCATTTTATTACTCTTATTTATTTACTATAATGAGATAACTAAGCTGGCCAGCTAGTGATTAAATAAAAAGCTCTAGCCCTCTGGGGGCTCTAGATAGATAGATAGATAGATAGAGAGATAGATAGATAGAATAAACTTTATTGATCCTGAAGGGAAATTGCAGTGTTTTAGTAGCAAGACATACAATTGCACATAAACTTACATATACAATGCAGAAAATAAAAAATAGAAATAAAAATAGACATAAGTTAGGTAGAAATAAAAAGTAAACAAAAAATAGACATAAGTTGAAGTATAAGAGAGTAGAAAGTATCTCTATTTGCATATTTACATAGCATATAAGACAGATTTGTTGTATTTACATGATAGCAGGCACTAAGTGGTATGAGGTAGTCTAAAAGCACAATGAGTATAGACATAACTCTGCCTTTCCAGGTAATGTACCGTAAAATGATGTGCTAACTAATAACGATGACCGCCACAAGCTGTTCAAATTATTTAAATTTACAGCTGGTTAATTTATGTATTGCTGATAGCTAGATGTTTGTTTCTTGCTTACTTTAAGCATAGCTTAGTGGCAATAGCGACAGCTTTGCTTTTATTATTTACTGTTACAAATGCTTCCTTCTTTGACACTTTCTTATCCTCATGTTTTAAGCGATTGGCTATTCATTATAAATGTCATGCTTTCCTGTGCACATGCACTAGTATCTGTGTATCTATTAGGGGTGCTACTATCTATTAGGGGTCGACTAAAACTGACGACCAAACTAGTTGGCAACCAATTTAATAGTTAATTAGTTGGTATCGTCATCACGCATGTTTCTCTGGCTAACTAGGAATGTTTGGAGCTAAACTCAAAAAAAAAAAAGGTTGTCAGTTGTACTATTTGTAATCCGACCTTAGCTGGCTATCGGAGCACATCCTCCACGTTGGAGCATCTGAAGAAACATGACGGCTCACTGGATGAAGAAGATTCATCTCGGTAAGCTAGCTGTGCTAGCTTGTTAGCTAATGTTAATGTTAAAAGCCGTCTTAGTTCATGTTATGAGCTGAGCTGTAACAACTTCTGTTCTCTTGAATTGTTACTGGAGTTTGAATGGAGAAGCAAGTAACTATTATTCACAATGACGCTGTTCACTTTCCAGATA